GGTAGGGGGGTCTGCACAGGAAGGCAGCCCTCTGCCCAAGCCCCTCCCCCACCCCCATCCCCGCACCCACATCCACACCCACCTCCACCCACACCCGGACCCAGCCCCCTAGTCTGTGGGGTTGAAGGGGGCGCAGCTCGCAGGGCTAAAGGGGTGCAGCCAGCTGGGCTTCGATGAGGGCTCGAGGTTGGGGCACCCCAGTCTGACAGCAGGACCAGGGCATTCTGGGTACTCGGACTGGGTGACTGCAGGCCAGTTCGTGTGTGCGGGCGTGGGGCGGGTGTGGGGTGTCTCCGGGCAGGTGTGGGGCGCCCCCCTCCACTGCCCTCACCTCGGCATCCAGGGTGGAGCCCGCTCTCTTCGCCCACTGGGTCCGCTTGGTGGCTGCCGCCTCTTTCTTCGCCTCCTGCTTGGGGGCATCGGGGAGGGGACCAGGGACTAAGGCGGCCTGCAGGGGGGCTCGCGCCCTCAGCCCTTCCCTCTTCCAGCCCCGCCCCTTCTCTCTGTGCCCCCCAACCCACAGGCCTCTGCCCAGCCCTCCCTAGCCCCACTGTCCACTCCTGGGAAACCCCCTTCATGCCCGGGGCCACCCCCCTGACCCCCCCCTCTTTCCACCACCCAAGGGCCCATGGTCAGGGGCCAGGCAGGGCCCGGTACCTGGGGGTCCTGCTCCCCCGACTCCTGGGTCCTGCTGATCCACAGGTTGAGCCGCGAGGTCACCACCCCCGAGAGCGTCAGATTCTCCTGAAAGAGGGGCTCCGTCAGGGCGGGGGGGACACAGGACAGAGCCCCCCACATCCCCTGCAGCGCCCCGTAGACCTGAGGGCCCCTGCCCCCCCTCCACCCCCACCCACCGGGAGCCACGGGGACCTGGGCTCAGGACCCAAAGGGTGACTCAGGTCAACGGGAGCTTCAGCCCAAATGGACACATGCAGCCCGGCCGGTGTGGCTCAGGGGTTGAGCGTCGACCTATGACCCAGGAGGTCAGGGTTCGATTCCCGGTCAGGGCACAGGCCCGGGTTGTGGGCTCGATCCCCAGGCGGGGGTGTGCAGGAGGCAGCCGATCCATGATTCTCTCTCATCATGGATGTTGCTCTCTCTCTCTCCCTCTCCCGTCCTCTCTGAAATCAATAGGAACATCTATTTTTTTTTAAAGGGACATTTGGGAACACGGTGTTTGGACCAGTGCCCGGCCCAAGGCCGTGGGTGTGGGGACCTCAGGCCTCCGGGCCTGCGCCCCTCACCTTGCGGCTGGAGGCAGGCTCCTGTCGGCTGGGGCCCTGACCCGCCAGCTCCTTCTCGAAGAGGTGACGCCTGCTGGCCACGCCCACGGGCGCCACGAAGACCTCGGTGCGGGAGGAGCCGGAGGACTTGACGGACACTGACCTCTGGGGAGAGAAAGCACAGGCTGACCCAGGAGGCGGCGGGAGGCCAGGGGCACCCCACACCCTCACACCCTCACCCGCGGGGTCCCCCGCCACTCCCCGCCCCACCCACCTGGATGGCCGTGCGGTATCTCTCCAGCTTCTCGCCTAACTTGTCCGGGAGCCTCACGCTGGCACTGCCGGGCAGAAGGACGGGATGAGACCGGCCAGTGAGGCCCTGCCCCCCGAGACCAGGTGTGCACCCCTCTGTCCAATGGCCCCCCGTCCCCTCCCTCTGCACCCCCTGCCCGGTCCTGTCACGTCTACCCAAACACGTCCGTCCCGGACCCTCCTCGCCATCTGCCCCACCCCTGTGGTCCCCTCCACACGCCCACCCCTGTGGACCCCTGACCTCGCACTGTCCCTGCACATGAATCCCACCCTGTCCTTCCACTCCAACCCTCAGGCCCCAGGACCGAGACCAAACTCCGGGCCTGGTCCCTGTCCCCCCCACCGGACAAGCACCCCTGAAACCCCCTTCTTCATGTGCTTGTGTACCCCGAACCAGATGTGGTAGGCTCGTCACACTCAGCCTTTCCACGGGCTCCCCCCGCCCCCCAGTTAAGAGGCACCCCCCACTTCCCCTCTGGAAATCTTCAGTTCCACCCAGAGTCAGCTGCTGCCCTCACATTCCCCAGCCCCCGCAGGCCGACACCTCCCGCTGGGCGAGGCTGCCGGGGCGG